TGCAAGAATCACAAGGTTACTGGGCTTGGGATGCTCCATAAAGCAGAAACAGCTTGTAAGGAGACATTACAACTGATGCTCAGGAAATTGAAAGGATCATTAGTGGCAGCAGTAAGCAACTATCTGCCAATACATTACAAAATCTAGGAGAAATGGACAAATTTCTAGATACATACAACCTACCAAGTTTGATCCTGGAAGAAATTCAAAACCTGAACAGACGAATAACAAGTAACGAGATTGAAGACACAATAAAAAGTTTAGCTGCATGAAGTCCTTCATATAAATATTGAATCCAGTCATGTCAAGGAGCATATGTTTTAGATACAGAGATGTTCTTCGACTTATGATGGGACTACATTCCAGAAAACATAAGTCAAAAGTATCAATTGAAAATGCATTTAATACCACTTATAATGGGTTACATCCTGATAAACCCACTGTAAAACCAAAAAAATCATAAGTTGAACCTCATAAGTTGGAGACGATCTGTAAATATAATTTCTGTTTTTAAAATATAATTTGAAACTTTTTCTGGAGGGAGTCTTTCAAGTTGGTTGAATAGACCTAGTTTATACTTAACTTTTAATGTTTTCCTCTAGTTGAAAAAACAGCAAGTAAACCAGAGGCTGAATAGAGTCAGGCAAGAGGTTGACCAATATAAAAACACAAAAGCAACAATAAAAACCTAGAGGATGTGTATTCATTATTAGTATTGTGATGGTTAATTTTACATGTCAACTTGCCTGAGCAATGGAGTGCCCAAATATTTACTCAAACACATTATTCTGGGTGTTTCTGTAGGGCTGTTTTTGGATGAGATTAACATTTGTATCAGTAGACTGGGTAAAGCATATTGCCTTCCCCGATGTGTGTATGGGCCTCATTCAATCAGTTGAAGGCCTGAAAGACAAAAACAGTAACTTTTCCTTGAATAAGAGAAAATTTGTCCCTCATTACTTCATTCAAGCTGGGTCATCAGTTGTTTCCTGACTTCACACTTCAATGGGGTGACAACTTTGGGGGATCCTTTCTGTCTTGGGATCACTGGACCCTCAGTCCTTATTCAGAGTTCTCATATTGGCTCCATGTAGGGCCTGGGATCCCCTCTTCTGCTCTATCATGGCTTCACTTTCTTAAGGAGATCACCTCCCTTAGACCCAATATAAAACATTGGGGCAGCCTCTCCCTGACAGTCCTGCTATGGGTTTTCAAATGCTGAAAGCCAGAGTGAGGGCTGGAAATTATGTTGTCCCTTCTACTGGGGGAAGGAATATGATCAACTTAGTCTTCATCAGAAGTCCTCAATTTGACTCCTAGAAGGACCTGCAGCTCCTCTGTTCTTTGATCTGAAGGCATCTCCACACAGCAAGGCCCAGAACTCTCTGAGACCTAGTAGAGGGAAGGGAGGGCAGCCTTATTGGGCCATACCTGCCTGTAGTCTCCCGAGGCACAAAGCTGTGGCAGGCACTTTTGGGCCTCATGAGGATTGGCCTCACCAGGCCTCGCCCAGATTCTTCATTTTGACTCATGACAGTGCCCACAGTTTCTCCCTTTCGTGGCCTGTCACCGTCTCCCTCAGAATAAGGGCCTCATTTCTCTGTCACCCTGAGGAGGAATTGAGGGGTGCCTCTGCTCTGCCTGACATTTATCCCTGAGTCTCCCAGGACTAACAGTAGGGGAGAGATTATGTGCTGCCTCCGTTATACGTTTCAGGTTCTGCTCCATCCTCATGGTCCTCACCCTGACACCTGGCTCAACCTGGTAATGTTCTCTATGATGAGAGAGCCAACCTCAGACCAAGTTCCTCACCACCTGGAGTCCCCAAACGTGGAAGTCAAAGTGATCACGCTGGAGCTATTAGGGGATTCTGAGAACTAATAGCAAGAGAAAGACTCCATGGGACTCCTCTGTTCAAGGGTTTGCAACTCCTTGAGTCCTCACTCAGCCAGGATCTCAGACTCCTCCCTCTAGTGATGCAAGTCCTACAGGGCGAGGAGAGAGTGGCTGACATATCCAGTTATTTGTGTCTGGGGATTTCCAGGGCTGAAAGGGGCAGAGCTATGTGGGTTCCTTTCTCTTCTAGGTTGGTTGCTCCCCTAAGTCCTTGCTCAGAGTCCTCACAATGAACATTCCCAAGACTTAGAGGCCTGTCTGTTCATATACGGCCTTTAATTCCCTAATACTATCAAATGGTCACCTACGGCTGACAGTACCTGAGGGATTCTGCGTTGTCTGTACTGTTAGGATTTGAGTGGTTCCTTCCATCCTCACGGTCCTCGGCTTGACTGTTTGTATGACCTGGAATTTATCCCTGTGGTAACCTCAGACTGACCCCTTAGACCAGGTGCCTTACCTCCTTGAGATGCCTTAAAAGGAAATGAGTGGGACTCATCATCTCAGAATTTCCTGGTTTGCCAGGGAGAGACACCAATGGCAGGGCTTCGTGTAGCTCCAACTGTTCTGGGAGGAGTACCATCATCCCTGTTTAGGGTCAGCAGTGTGACTCCTATTAAACATCCTCTGCTGAATAGGGTTGTTCCCATTAGAATAAGGCTCTCACTTCCTTGAGACCACTGCCAGAGGAACTGAGGGGGCACTTCAGTCTGAGAGTTCTGCCCTGGTCCTCCTAGGGCTGACAATAGGGACAGGACACTGCATTCCCACTGTTCTTGGGTGAGTGGTCTCCTCTATCCTCCCTCAGCATCTTTACCTTGACTCCTACCTAATGAAATCTGAAACTCCACTCTCCACTGACTCAAGGCTGCACTCCTCTGACCAAGGCCATATCTTCCTGGAATCTCCCAGCTGGAAGTTAGGAACAGCCACATCTGGCCACAGTTATTGAGGATCCTCTGAGGAATAATAGCAGGGTCAGAATCCGACAAGATTCCACTGTTTTGGAGTCAGTGGCTCCCTCAGTTCTCACTCAGGGTTCTAACATGGATTTGGGGATGTGGAACTCCTTCCTCTACTAAGCTGAGTCTGCCAGCCTCAAGCCAAAGCTTTTCCTTTACTGAGAAACCAGAGGGGGAAGTCAGGGTGCTACTCCTTGGCTACCCCAGTGTCCTCACCTTAAATCTAATCCAGGCTCGTGAGGATCTCCTTCATGGGCAGAATCGGAGCTACTGCCATGAGATCAAAGCCTTTATCTCCCTGGGGCACCAGTAGAAGCCCTAGAGAAAATGAGGAGGAGCCTCAACCAGATAGCCCTGCCTATGGCCACCCAAGGCAGAAAGCAAGATAAAGCTTTAAGAGCCCCTACTGTTCTGGGTGGATCATTCCTCATTTCTCATTCAGAGTCCTCTTCTTGATAGTTTTCAGAGGCTGAGATCCTCCTCCCAATAACCAGAGCACACCACCCTTAGACCAGGACTCTTATGTACCTGAGAACTTGAATAAATAGAGAAATTTTAGCTTGCTGCTATAGCTTGGGCCTTCTAGATCTGAGAGTAGGCAGGGCCTGGTCTCTCAGTGACCCCGATATTCTGAGGCAGTGATCTCCAGAATCCTCATTTATGGGGGTTCTCATCATGCCTCCTTTCTGTTTAAGCCTGCTGGGAAATGTCACACACCTGCAAACAATTGAGCAGGTTCCCTACTGCAAACCTTGCAGACAATGGCTCCCTGTCCCAGGTTCTGTACGAGACAGGGAAGCTGTACCACAAGGCAGGAGGCCCCAGACAGGTGGTGGGCTGTCAGTGAAAAAAGCACACTGATCTATTCTTTGCTTTGCCAGCCAGACTTAGCCTATTATGTACTTTGCTTTGAGGATATTTAATTTCTATGGGGAAAGGGCAGAGCAAGATGATTTGGGGAGCTCCTGATCTTATTGGGTTATCTGATGTTGCATATCCAGATGATCATACTGTCACTGTGTATTATTTTTTCTTTTAGCAATTCATACTACTCATTTATTCAGCATTATGATTATTCTAGTTGTATATTCCAAAGAAGTGCTTTGGGTACAGTGTCCTTTTAATGCTCTGATAAGCATTTTGGGCAGTGAGAGGAAAAATGAATTAAAAGACACAAAGTCTGGCTCAGGCTGAGAGGACTGGAAAATGTGTGCTCTAGATGAATCCAGACCAGAGATCTAATCCCAGCTCTGTCAATTACAAGCTTGTGAGCTTTTAGAAATGTGCAATTTATTCATTTTGAAGTGAGTCTGCTAAACCCCATCTTGTAGGAATTTTGGGGTATAAGTTCTGTCCATAAAAAATATGGCATACTAAGTAGGAAATACTGAGTCTGTCATAAATGACAGTTACCATAATATGTGTTTTTATATAAATTATTAATTTTTAATTTTCCTAAGGATATATTAAGAAACAAAATTACCACATCTTGAAAATATTTGGGACAATTTAAGCCTATGCAAGTTCTTGAATGTAGCCGCCTTGAAATTTTCAAGAAGGTTTTTAGTGAACTCATTCTGGCTTATATTGATCACTGCATTTCATGTGATGATTTTAAACCCAGAAAATACCACCCTGCAATCAGAAAGGCTTTTTGATGCAGTAGATAACATAGAATATGAAATGCACTAGAACAAAACAAACGGCAGTCTTAATAACCTAAATAAATCCAAGTATCCTTTATTTATACTAAAAGAAATAGGAAAAGGAATTAGGCAAACCAAGAATTAAACAACTTTTACATTTCTGTTTTTCCTTTTCTTTCTCATCATATTATGATGTCAACTCTTTTATTGTGGAGTTCTTTAAGATTCATATCAAAATCCATTTTCTATTACCATGTTATCTAGTTCTGAATTACAACGAAAATATGTTGTGTGATTTTGTTTTATTAATACCCAAACCGTAACTTTCAAATTGGTTAAACAACCATGAATGTGAGAGCTATGTTTTTGATAATTGTATAATCTGAAGCAAAATAAACTTTCACTTAACAGAAACAATCTTGAAAATTGACAAAGAAATAAAACATAAATCTACAAGTTACTCATGTATAACAAGACAAAAGAAAGAGATATATCTTGTTCCCTCCAGCCTCTACTATACTGCACTACCTAGAAAGCTCACTACTCTCTTCTAACATAAAGCAAAATTTCTAATTCAGAATGGGAGGATCTGTAGGATGTGGCCCCATAAGGTGCCCTGGCCAAGGGAATAGTGCCAGTTCTGCCTTAAGCTCTCAATCTCAATGCTCTCTCTACCTCATCTATCAAAGCGTCTTCATACAGATGTGGGTATAAACCGGGACTGGTGTTATTGATCTCAGCCAAAACACGCAGGACTTTCATCTTGGTGGTTTCAGCATGGGCTCGTGGACCCCACAGGAACTCATAGCGTGGAGGATCACTGTTGCGCACCTGCCGGTAAACCACGTACTTATCTTGCACCAAATCTTCAGTAATGATCTTCCGGGTATCCCCATAGATTGAGTGCAGGATCCCATCATATATCCCCAACACACCCAGGAACTCCCAGACCTCCTCTTCAGTGGCACGGTTGCCTTTCATGAAGATCAAACCCAGGAGCGACATCAGGAGACCCGACTTCGGCAGCGCATTATCACCACTCAGACTTCCTTCACTGGAGAGGCCCAGCTTGCTCACAAGGGTATAGGACTCGCCGCTGGAATCCATTTCTTTCAATTCAACGCCAAAGACCACCGCCAAACGTTCGGAGGTTCTCTTGAGGATCTCAGGGAAGCAAGGCTTGTACTGTCTGCGGACACGCCTCAGCATGTCTGCCTTCAAAATGGACTCTTTCTTCTCAAACTTCTCCTGCAGGAATTGCACCATCTTGCTCGCTTTCCTGTTTAGAGGATCTCGGTCTGCGGTTGTAAAGAACACAGTTCTCTCGGAGGGGCTTATACTTTCCCCTTCTTGACCCTTGGCAGCCACATCAGATTTTGAGCCTGAAACATCTGCATCAGGCGAGCCAGTGGGTGAAGCTCCCTGAGACTCCTGAGGAACGGAGGCATCAGGGGAGGTGCTTGGACTTTTCTCATCTTGACCCTTGGCAGCCATATCAGATTTTGAGCATGAAACACCTGCATCAGGAGAGCCAGTGGGTGAAGCTCCCTGAGACTCCTGAGGAAGGGAGGTATCAGGGGAGGTGCTTGGAATTTTCTCATCTTGACCCTTGGCAGCCACATCAGATTTTGAGCATGAAATACCTGCATCAGGAGAGCCAGTGGGTGAAGCTCCCTGAAACTCTTGAGAAACGGAGGCATCCCGGGAGGTACTTGGACTTTTCTCATCTTGACCCTTGGCAGCCACATCAGATTTTGAGCATGAAGCACCTGCATCAGGAGAGTCAGTGGGTGAAGCTCCCTGAGACTCCCGAGAAACGGAGGCATCCCGGGAGGTACTTGGACTTTTCTCATCTTGACCCTTGGCAGCCACATCAGATTTTGAGCATGAAACACCTGTATCAGGAGAGCCAGTGGGTGAAGCTCCCTGAGACTCCTGAGGAACGGAGGAATCAGAAGACCTACGACGAGCACTCCGACAAACAGCAGAAGAGGATGAGGAAGAGCGAGACTCTTCTTGCTTCTCTGCAGTGACCTGGGGACCTGTGAGACCTTGCGGCGGACCATGGGTCTCTCGGCGTTTCTCACGGGCACGGAGCTTACTCTTCTGACCCCGAGGCATGGTGGCTGTGGCCTATGACAGCAGGTAGGAGTGTGGACATGAAGGTTGGCACCTGGACGGGAGAGAGTGACATCATGTCAACACCTTCGGCAGAGAGCAACTATCCTGGCTTTAACCAGCGGCCCTTCTGGAGGTTTCCATGAAACAATTGCTCCAGGAACTCGCAGGACTCCTGTTCTCCTGGTCTGTTTGTCTCCTTCGAACTTAGGAGGAAGTTAAGAGTGAGTGTTAGACTATAGCATGACAGCCCATTTTGGGGCTTACTGAGGTGACAGCAGGGACCGGCAGTGGGGGCCCCTCTGTTCAGAGGTGTGGTCCTCTCCGTTTTTATTCTGGATCATCATAAAAATTGCAGTCAAGTCCCAGAGGCCCATTCCCCTCTGCCGCTCTGAAATTGACACTAGGAATTTTTACAGTACTAACCAGGAGGAAATAAAGAAGCACTCCTGCCCAACACTTCTTTCCGGGACACCCAGACCGCCTAGGACTGACAGCAGCGGAGGCATTTGAGTGCTCTTGCTGTTATATTGAGAACGGTCCCTACGGTAATCAGACTCCTCATCCTGACTCTTCCCACAACCTGGAAATCACCCTCGCTGACCTGCTGCCACCTTCTTACAACCAGGGACCTACCTCTCTGACTCTCACGGGGACAAAGAGAGAACGCACCTCTCTCTAGAGACCTGCCCGGACCCCCAGGCTGACATCAGGGGCGTAGTTCGGTGCAACCCATGCTGCGGCATGGAGTCCCTTCAGTCTTAAGCAGAGTATTCCTCCTAGCTACGCAGTGCCTGAGATTTCTCTCTCTACTGACCTGAGTCCACCAGCCTTCGACCGAGGACTTCACGCTCTTCGACCCCACGGAAAAAGCGAATGGACTTTTGGCCTAACAGCCATGCTTCGGGACTCCTAAGTTACCATCTTAGGAGCAGGATGGGGCAGGGCTCTCTGAAGCTGCCCTTTTTTAGGGGATAGGGGGTTGTAGTTGTTGGGGAATGTCCCTCGAGTTCTAGGTCAAGATACCCACTAAGATACCTGAGAAGATCTGGGATGCCCCCTTCCGCTGACCCGACGCAGCACTTTTCAGACCAAGGCCTCCTGCCTGGCCGCTTTTCTACGCGGAAGTCAGGAGGAACCACTTCCGGCCATGCCCACCTGGCCTTCCCAGCATAACAGCAGGGGTGGGGGTCTGTCACTCACCGTGTGTTCTGTGGACTGGGTGGCTGCTGAAGAACTCACATAAAATTCTTTCTAGGGCTCTTCGTGGACCCTTAGACTTCTCTGTCTGCTGAGCTGAATCAGTCAACAGGAGATGGAGGATCTCATTCCCTGAGAGTCCTGAGTAGGAAGTAAGGTGGAGCCTGAGCCAGGAACACATGCCAGGACCTTCCAAGACTGACAGTAGGGATGGGGCTCTGTGGGACACCCTCTTCCAGAATGGACTTTGCCTCCAGCCCTCACTCAGTGTCATCACTTCATTCTTGCCATGTTCCTTCCCTCTACTGACTTGAGGACACCCTCTCAGACTAGACTTCAACTTCCTGAGACTCCTCATGTGCAATTCATCTGGCCACTACTGCCTGGGGCCTCCTAGACCTAGCTGCAGCCAGTTAGTTATGCTGTGGAGTTAGGGCAAAGGAGGAGACATGCTGAGCCCTCTTCTCTTCTAAGATGTGCAGTCTTTCAGCAGTCAATTAAGGTCCACCCACTGACTGCTGTCAGGCCTTGCGATTTTTCCCTTTTTTGTTATGAATTCATTCCCTTCTCCCAACCATAGCCTTCAAAAATCAACAAGGAGAAAATAAGGGGACTCCTTATCATGGCAGCTTTGTCAGTGCTTTCTCTTGGCTGACATCAGCATCATCAAATGTTTCAGGAGTATATTAATATTCTTATTACATGTGCTTCACTGTGACACTTCTATTTTAGTATATGTTTTATATTCTATTACAATGATCATTTAAAAAATCAGCCCTCATTCGCTATAGAGATTTTAGGTGGTTATTACTACAATGTCTGAACTCATACTGCTTTAACCAACTCAAATGTTTGTTATTACCCCATGATTCCAGCATGTGGCACCTGAGATGTTGCCTCAGATTCTTTAAATGCAGCTGTAGAAAATCATTGTCCCAGGCACGCAGAAAGAAGCAAAGGCAGAACTTTAAAATAATTCCTGCAACTAATGCTGTCATCCGTTTGTTACTGCAGGCTATGGATCTGTTTTCACCTCAGGGCAGGCCGCCATATAAGCACTGGTTCAACAGAGACTTAGTATCTCTCGGGGTTCTCACTTTGTTATTTTGCTGATGTTTATGGCATTGTTCTTTTTTTTTTCTTTAGATTTCCCATGGTTAATTTTGGGCATGGGAAAGAAACACTAGCTTGGTTGTCATCTTGGAAGCTGTAGATAAAAACTATATCTGTAAATAACCTAAGGAGAATGGATATCTTTGCAATATAGGCATACCTCATTTTATTGCAATCTGATATATTATACTTCACAGTTATTATGTTTTCTTACAAATTGAAGCTTTGTGTCAACGTTGATTCAAGCAAGTCCTTCAGTGCCATCTTTCCAACAGTATGTGCTAACTTTGTGTATTTGTGTCACATTTTGGTATTTATGGCAATATTTCAAACATTTTCATGACTATTATATCTGTTATGGTGATCTGTGATTAGTGATCTTTGATGTTATTATTGTAATTGTTTTGGAGAAGCATGAACAGCACCCATATCAGATAGCAAATTTAATTGATAAATGTTGTGTGTGTTCAGGCTGCTCAACTGGTCAGCCATTCCCCTTTCTCCCTCTATTTGGGCCTGCCTCTTCTCTAAGGTGAAAAATATTGAAATTAGGCCAATTGATAACTGTACAATGGGCTTTAGGTCATCAAGTGAAAGAAAGGCTCAAATGCCTCTCACTTTACATCAAATGTTGAAAATAATTAAGCTTAGGTAAGGAAGGCATGTTGAAAGCTGAGAGGCTGAAAGCTAGGCTTCTTGCATCAAACAATTAGCCAGATTGTCAAAGCAAAGGAAAAGTTATTGAAGGAAGTTAAAAATGCTATTCCAGTGAATGTACAAATGATGAGAAAGCAAAAGAGCCTGATTGCTGATTTGGAGAAGGTAGAAGATCAAACCATTCACAACATTCCCTTAATCCAAAACCTGATCCAGATCAAGGCCCTAACTCTCTTTAATTCTATGAAGGTTGAGAGAAGTGAGGAAGGTGCACAAAAAAAGTTTGAAGCCAGGGGAGGTTGGTTTGTGAGATTTAAGGAAAGAAGCTCTCTCCATAACATAAAAGTGCAAGATGAAGCAAGTGCTGATGGAAAAGCTGCAGCAAGTTATCAAGAGTATCTAGCTAAGATCATTGATGAGGATGACTACACTAAAGATTTTCAAAAACAAATGAAACAGCCTTATATTGGAAGAAGATGCCATCTAGGACTTTCGTAGCTATATAGGAAAAGTCAGTTCCTGGTTCCAGACTTCAAAGGACAATCTGACTCTGTTGTTATGGGCTAATGTAGCTTGTGATTTTAGTTTGAGGCCAGTGCTCATTTACCAGTCCATAAATTTTAAGGCCCTTAAGAATTTTGTTAAATCTTCTCAGCCTGTGTTCCATAAATGGAACAACAAAGCCTGGATGACATCACATCTTTTTGCAGCTTGGCTTACTGAAAATTTTAAGCTCAATGTCAAGACCTACTGCTCAGGAAAACAAAAAAAGATTCCTTTCAAAATATGAGTGCTCATTAACAGATCATTAACAATGTACCTGGTTACCCAAGAGCTGCAATGGAGCTACACAAAGACATTAATGTTGTTTCTATGCCTGCTAATATAGCATCCATTATGCAGCCCATGGAACAACAAGTCATTTTCACTGCCAGGTCTTATTATTTAAGAAATACATTTTAAAAGTCTGCCAAAGATTGTGATTTCTATGATGTACCTTTGCAAAGTAAATTGAAAACCTTCTGGAAAGGATTCACTATTGTACATGTCATTGATGGAAGGAAGTCAAAATATCAACATAATAGGAGCTTGGAAAAAATGGACTCTAACCCTTATGGATGATTTTGAGGGGTTCAAGACCTCAGTGGAGGAAGTAACTGCAGATATGGTAGAATAGCAAGAGAATTGAATTAGAAATGGTGCTTGTAGATGTGACTGAATTGCTGTAATCTCATGATAAAACTTGAATGGATGAGGAGTTGCTTCTTATGTATGAACTAATAAAGTAGTTTCTTGAGATTGAATCTACTCTGTGAAAATGCTGTGAACATTGTTGAAATGAAAACACAATATTTTAAATCTTACAAAATCTTAGTTGATAAAGCAGAGGCAGGGTTTGAGATGGTTGACTGTAGTTTTGAAAGATGTTCTACTGTGGGTAAAATGTTATCAAACAGCATGGCATGCTACAGGGAATATTTTGTGAAAGGAAGAGTCAATCAATGTGGCAGACTTCCTTTGATATGGTTTGGCTCTGTGTCCCCACCCAAATCTAATCTTGAATTGTGACCCCCAAGTGTTGAGGGAGGAAGGTGATTGGATCATGAGGGCAATTGCCCCCATGCTGTTCTCATGATAGTGAGTGAGTTCTCATGACATCTGATGGTTCTGTAAGTGTCTGGCATTTCCCCTAATTGCTCTTCTCTCTCCTGCCACCATCTGAAGAAGGTCCTTGCTTCCTCTTCACCTTCCACCATGATCATAAGTTTCCTGAGGCCTCCCCAGCCATGTGGAACTGTGAATCAATTAAACCTCTTTTCTTTATAAATTACCCAGTCTCAGGTAGTATCTTCACAGCCGTGTGAGAAAGGACTAATACAATAAATTGGTACCAGGAGTTTGGGGCACTGCTATAAAGATACTTGAAAATGTGGAAGCAACATTGGAACTGGGTAACAGGCAGAGGTTGGAACAGTTTGGAGAGCTCAGAAGAAGACAGGAAGGTGTGGGAAAGTTTGGAACTTCCTAGAGACTTGTTGAATGGTTTTAACCAAAATGCTGATAGTCATGTGAAC